GCTGGCAACTGGGATGCTGCTGGTGGGGACACGCTGGCCAGCCTCCCTGGTGGCATGGTGCTTCCTTTTGTCCTTCTGTTATACACCCCAGTCTCTCCTTCCCTCAGCCTTCCCTTCAGACTCCCTAAAGTCTGGTTTATTGATGGAACATTGACTGCTTCTCGCACCCCGCCCCATGCTGTAACAATTCTACTTTCCCTTCCCCAGGCAATGCAAATGGGAGACAAGAGAGAAACTGTGTCTTATGGGAAGGTGGGGGAAAGGACACAAAGATTGAAATTTCAGGATATTATCTGTCCATATTCTCCACACCTGGCCTTTTGGGTAATGTGCGCATGCGCTATGGGAGTCCATCGGGTCCCATTTAGCCCCAGGAAAGCGCTTTACTGAGCTCTGCAACCTTTTTAGGCCCTCTGCGCCCTAACCCTTGTGGGGTTGTGGGAACTTCTTGGTTACAGGCAGGGAAGCCAACAGCCCTGCCTTGGGCATTCTCCTGCCGCTGTGCACCTGTGGTCAAATGGTGCTGGAGCCGCTGCAGCGTGCGTAGGAGCCTAGAGGCCCCTTTGCCTCTGCAAAGCCGGCTCCAGTGCCAGGTTCTCTGTGCTCCAGGACGTTTCTAAGCAACATGGCCCCATCTTTGGGTAAGGAGCACAGGGCTGTCTCACTTCCTCAATGCGGTCTTCATCCTCTCTGTCCCGAACTACCAGGTGGCCCTGCCATTCTCAAGTCCAGGATGTCCCCAGAGAAACCAGGATGTGCTCTCCCCTCAGGCCTGTACCTTGCCACACCAAAGCAATTTAGAAATTCCTTTCTATGGACAAAGCATAGCTTTCCAGCCTGCTGGGAGCTCAAAAGTCTAGTCTAGGTTCAGAGCCAGACATTGACCTGCTCCAGCAGGCTCTACCCTGGTCCCAGCGCTGAACCGCTGCTGTAGGTGGAGCCCCCAGGGCTACAGGACCTGGCCACAGCCTCTCATTTTCACATTTCTTTAATAATATTTATGGCGGCTTACTGTGAGAGAGACATAAAGGTAAGATTTAAACACCCCCTGACATTTTTAAAATAACAGCTTTGAGATCTGATTGACATACTATACAATTCATGCTTGTAAAGTGTATACCTCAGTGGTTTTTAGAATATTCAGATTTGTAACATCATCACCACCATCTAATTTAGAACAAGTTCATTACCCCAGGCTATGGGGGGACAGACCCTACCCATTAGCACTTACTCCCTAATCTTCCTCCCCGCTTAGCTTCTGAAAATTTATTTTTTTTCTAGAAAATGGTTTTTCTTTGTCTTTAAGGACCCAGCTCCTCACATGGGCTCTGGTGGAGGAGGTGGGCCAGTATTAGCAGGTCTAGATTGGGGAGATAGGGGGTGTGGGGGGAAGGGTTGGTCTTTCTATGCTTCATGAGATCAACCCCTGAGCACCTTGCTGTGAATGGCACAATTTACACAGTTATGTGGCTTCACATGGAGCCCGGGAAGCACATAGTGTTGAAGACACTCGCTTCAGAAATATCCCATGGCTGTGGCCTCTACTATGTTCTACTGTGTTTCAGCAACAAACTTCTTAATGGTCTTGTCCTTGGCATGTATCTGGTGGAGCAATTAGGCCTTTTTGGTAGGACCATAATTATTATTTCTCCTCCTCCTCCTCCTCCTCCTCCTCCTCCTCCTCCTCCTCCTCCTCCTCCTCCTTTCATCTTGAAAGCAAGATCCATAGAGTGCTGTTTCTATTTTTGTAGCAAAAAAATGCTACCATGACCATTCTTATGTAAGATTTTTGTGTATACTATACTTTCATTTCTATTAGGTCTGTCTAGGAGTGGAATGGTAAGGTCATGGGGTAACTCTGCTTCATATTTTGAGAAACTTCCAGAGGTTTCCAAGTGGTGGCACCATTTAACAGTTGCACCATTAATGTGTGAGGATTCCACTTTCTCCATATCTTCACTCACATTAGTTATTTACCTTTATTAAAACAGCCATCCTAGTGTACAAAGAGGAATCTCACTGTCATTTTGACTTCTATCTATCTCCCTGATAGCCAATGATGTTTTTAGTTTGCTTGTTTGTCTTTTTATTGTTGATTTATAAGAGTTCTTTACATATTATAGATACATTTACTTTTTCAGTGTCTGTTGAAAGAGATGTCTAAATCCATGTTGGAGAAGGGTTTGCAGTTTTAAGAATCTGTAGAGTCCGTTGCACGGTGACAGAAATCTTACAAAGAATCCATTCTGTCCCATGCAGACCCTAGAGGGGAAAAACATAGACCTGTCCTTCCAGAGAGCCTGCTCCCTGCTCAATCATACCCCTTTCAAAATCATAGTTAAAGAGGAGTTCGGGAGATGTCGGGCACTGATGGGGGAGGGTGCAGGTTGGTTAAAAGCAGAATCACAGGGGGGATTTTTCTTTCTTTTTTTTTTAAAGGAATATAAGCTTTTATTTCTTGGGCAAATGAGATGGTACATTAAAAAGCATTTGGGGATTGTAAAAAGATATGCAAATACAAGGTGACATTCTTATTGTTACCATTGTTATTTGTGGGAACCAATGAAAACCTTCTCTAGGACAAAATCCATAAAGCCTGTGGGGGGCGGGGCGGGGTGTGTGAGTTCCAGAGGATGAAAGCTAAAGGAGAGAGGAGGGGGCAGAGTTGGCAAACCTTGACTGTGTGTGTGTGTGTGTGTGTGTGTGTGTGAGAGAGAGAGGGGGGGGGGGCGGAGGGGAGAGAGGGGGGAAAAAGAGACCTTTGTGATTTCTGGCACATTTCTTTACCACTGGTCTAATCATTTACTTAATGTCTTTCTTTAATGGGCTCCTATTTCTTTTAATTAAAGAGATACATGTATAAAGGACATTTTATACCACTTATAAATGATGAACCTGCATCATTTTCAGAATGGAAGTTACCCTATAAAACAAATATGAAAACCAAACAGTGTTTTGCAATTCTAGCTGGATCCTGCAGCCTTCTGGGCCTGGAACACTGTCCCCATCTTCTCGACCCGGATCGTGGCTCAGTCAGGTGTCTGCTCGGGTGATGCTCGGGACCACCGGTGCTCCAGCGCCAGCCCTCCAGCTTGGTTCTTGCTTTCTGGCTCTCATAGCTCCATGACACCCAAGGCTGTGGGCTCCCGTTCATGGGGTGTCTCCACTGCCTAGGCCAATGCATAGGAGCTGAGCCAGGACCTCAAATCTCTGGGCTCCTTTGTTTTTGTTGCCTTCCTTTAAGCAAATGTCAGCCAGCTGTTAAAGGCACAAGCAGCTGGTGTCTAACAGCCACTTGCACCTCATGTAATCAGGAGAACCCAGCGAGAATGAAGAAGGAAGTGATCTCAACAGTCCCCTGGCCTTCCTGGGTTCCCCACTCCATGCTTTGGGAATCCTCAGACCTGCAACTTGCCCATGCCAAGGGTGTCATTTACCCTCACCAGTTTCCTCTTTCCCCTGATCAAAGGATCAAGGATACCCCACCAATCTCCCAGAGCTGCTGTCTCATAAATAGAGCCAGCTTCTGCACACAAGCCTGGCAGATAGGAGCTGCTCAGTAAATGGCAGGGTTTAGTGGGAGAGGGGATTTAGTTGCTGGTTTTGCCTGCTGAAGTCCTGCTCTTCCTCCCATGCCCAACCTTTAGAAAAATAATATGATTTGCCCTTCATTGAGTTCTCAACATGCACAGTATCTTGTTAAAAAAGAGTTTTACCTACATCATTTTATTTCATTCTTGCAGTAATTATAAAGTATGGATTCATTAGTCCCATTTTGCAGGTGGAGGGATCGAGGTCTGGAGTGGCTTTAGGATTTTCTCAGACTGGTGCGAAAGGAGACGCAGCAAGGAGAGATGCAGCCGGGCCTTTCATATTTCAAAGTCCTTGTCCTCAACCACCGTGTACAGCTATTGGAATGCCCTCTGCCCACAGTGTCTCCTCTTCCACATTCTCACATCTGTGCACTGTTACCTCCGTGTCCTCTGCCTCCATCGCCAGGGTATACGCACGTGCTCGGGATGTGGGTGTGCCGTTGGCGCTCCCCAGGGTCAAGTGGAGTCCTGAGCGCCTTGTGGATACTTGGACTGGTGTCTGTTGAGGAAATGAAGGAACGAGAGCTCCAGGCTTCTCCTGCCAGGCTGTCTCTGGGGACAGAGTGCAGCTGCGTTTCTAGAAACACAGATTATCTGCACCAGAAAGTCCCTGGGCTCTTCACCTAGGACAGCATGGGGGAGGATCTGTCCCAGGCCAGGGAAACAGCACCTGTCCTGGAGGGTGGCTGTTCAGACCACCCAGGAGGCAGAGGAGGGGAGGTGGCTTCGGAAGGACCCTCCTAAACTTCCACGTTGATGGCTGTACGGTCATTTTCTCGGTTTTTCCCAGTCCTGATCTTGACTCCCTGCCTCAGGAGATCAGAGGAAGAAGAGAGAGTGACCTGGGGTGTTTCTTCTACGAGCTATTGGGCCAGAGCTGGTGACAACTCTGTTGTCAGGACCCCCAGGATTCTGAATGATCCTGGGTGACTTCCTACACCTTCATCTCACCTCAGTGCAGAGTTCCTTTATTAGAAACTCTTCCTGTCATCCTAATTTGAATGTGGCCTCTGTTCTTGCAGGGACCTGACTGATGGCATGGAAGATCCTTATTCTCTGTATCCCATGCCTGGCACAGTACTGGGACCTGGCTGTGACATTTATTGAGCACTTACTATGTGCCAGGTATGGTATCTGTATTAACTCAACTAACCCGCACAGCAATCTCTAATTATCATCTTCACTTTAGGACACTAAGTAGCTTACCCCATGTTACATGGTCACCAGGTGGCAGATTTAAGATTTGAACCCAGGTGGGTTGACTCCAGAGCCAATAACAGTGTGGATCTCGAGATCTAGGTTCTATTATCCTGGGGAACCTAAAGAACCTGTCTCTGTGCCAACCTGGGGTCAGAAGGTGGAACTTGGGTCACTATGGCAACCAGATCAACTGGTGGTACCAGCTGGTGAGACCTTGGGGCCAAGGTTCTACTGCTGGCAGAGAGAAGGCTGAGGTTGGCATGGGACAGTGTTTGAGATACCAGATGCATTGGGAGGACCTGGAAGAGTACCAGGTGGGGAGACGGGAGTTCTGGTCAGAGGTGGGAGCTTCCCAGAGCAGGTGGGATAATGGAGAACTCTTTCCTGAGATGCTAGAGTTTACCAGGCGGGAAGGTGGCTCTTGCCTTTGCTAAACCTGCGTCCATGTGGCATGAACCAGTTCTGCAGCCCCCCCCCACCCCCATCTCCTGCTCCAGAGCCCAGGATTTGGGCCATGTCTCTGATCCCCTCTCTAGGTCTGCAAGGAGGAGAGAAAGGCACCACCTCAGCCTCTGCCACCACATCAGGTGTCTGTTACCTTGGGCTGTAGTGCTTCCATGTCCCCAGCAGTGGAATGAGAGACTGGGCTTTTCTTTCCCTGCCCCAAAGCTCTCCACTCCCCAGGGGGCCAGGAGGGGCTGGACTGAGTGACCGGCCACATCTCTGATGTTTTGCAGGCCCTGACCTTCCTGACCAGAAATGAAATTCTGTGGTGAGTAGAGGCCCCTGTTCGCCTTTCCCTTCCCCTGAGCTGGGATCTTGCCTTTGTCCAGCCTTTTGTTCTAAGTGCTCAGAGCCACATGGCCCTGGACTGCAGCTGGGACAGACAGGGAGGGACAGACCCAAGCCCTGAATGGACAGACATCGGACTTCAGGGCTTTTGCCGCCACCCAAGGCGGCAGTTCTGTAGGATCACAGAGCTGTCAGGGGCTCCGTGGGACAATGAAGAAAATGAGAAAAGGACTTAAGAAGTGGAGGGCTGAAACCCATTCTGGCCGTCTATGGGCTGTGTGAACTGGGGTGCATCCCCCTCCCTGTCCTGCCTGAGCCTCTCCTCCGGGGCCCCTTATGTGCCAGACACCATGGAGGCAGTGGGCGTGGGATGAGAGGTCGGGCCCTGTTCTCACACAGATCCCTGCCCAGCGTGGAAGCCTCCTGGCCAGGACCACCATTATCCTGCATGGAGATGTGGCAAGTGCCACCTACCATGGGACTGTGGGGAGAGTGGATATGATGAGAGGTGTGGACATGCTTGGCCAAAGCCAGGTGCTCAACAAAACCTGTTAGAGGGATAACAGACATTTGGGGGTGGGTGGGAATTGGGGGAGGTGGGAACGAGGAGACCATTTAAACCCCAGCCTGTTCCCTCTTGATCCCTCTGTTTTCTCTGCTTGAGCTAACCCTCCCTGGGCACCATGTCCAGCCTGGTGGCCATAAGCATAAGCCTCTCCAAGTACAAATTGGGATGAGGGGTGGCCAGGTAGCAGAGCTGTGGAGACCAGGGGCAGTCACAGGGCTGGGTTATTTCCCTTTTGAAAACAATATTTGCATGCTTTTTTCAAATACAAAAAGCATCACAAATGCCCCAAAGACCCATATTCTCCTACCCATAGAACCTTTATTGATATTTTCTAGAAAGTAATACATGAATAAAAATAAAATGAAAGGAAATAATATTGTGAGCATGGCTAGAAAATTTAAATAGGATAAAAATCCCCAATGAAAAAACAAGTGTTTCCATTTCCTCCTCCCAGTTGTTCTCCCTGACACAGCCCCAGTTACCAGCAGTTTCTCCCCCAGGTTTCCAGAATTTTCCATGCACATGTCCTTCAACGGTTTTACCCCATGCGTCCTGTAGCATTCATCTCATTCATACTGTTCTGCACCTTTTTTGGTGGTTGTTGTTGAAGTTTTCCTCTTGGCCAGTTTTACAGAAAGCACATAGAGATCTGCCTCATTCTTTTTTAATGGCCATGAATCATTCCCTCGTGTAGATGAACCATAATTCATTGCCAACCCCCCTGTTATGGACACAAGTTGTTTATAGTTTCCAGTTTTACAAATAATTCTATATTAAGCATTTATATATAAATATCCAACAGGTGAGAGTCAGTCCTCAGAAGACATTCATAAGCACAGAGCTGCTAGGCAAAGGGTAGGTCATTTAAAAAAGTGATAGACCTCCCAGGGGTTGCATGGGCTTGTCCTCTGGGCAATGGAGTGTGACCCAGCTGCTCCTCCTTCCACCCCCCGGGGTTTTTGAGTGGCATCTTTGGAAGGTAAGGATCTGATGAGAGAGAGGAAAGGAGAGAGGGATTTTCTCTGGTGGATAAGGCCCCTCCCCTTGCCTTTGTTCTGCACTGACCCTGAAAAAGGTCCTTGGAAGCAAGCCATCCCTAGGGAACCCACTTCTGAGCTGCTCACCCAGGCCTTGAGGTGGCCTTTGTTCAGATCCTGTTTCCAGCCTCTTTCCAGCCCTGTTGTGATCTCTTCCCATGAGAAGGGTGCAGTTTGACCTTCCCCTGGCTGCCAAGGAAGGCTCCACTTCAGCCCAAACTTCTCCAATGAGCATCTCTCTAAGCTTTTTCTGGCCCATCCCTTCTTTTGGCTCCATTCCTGAGCAAAAGGGGCCCATACCTGTCCCCTCTGCCTCCTAGGAGGCTCCCACCTTTCAGGGCCATGGAGACCATGCAAGGGCCAATGCTGGCATGGTGTGGGACTGCCACTGCTTAAGGAAGGCAGAGTGGAAGGCAGAGGGGTCAACTTCTACCTTGCTTCTATGTCTCCATATTGGACACCTTTAAATAAGACAGATGAGACAAGCACACGGGGGTCAGAAACTCCAAGTTGGTGGGGTGATACTAGAGAGATCTCTGTGGCTTTCAACCAAGGGCGGCTCCAGACCCAGGAGATCACAGGCAGGGGACAGCTGAGGTTGTGCAGCAGCTGTCAAAAGCTCTGAGGAATGGAGGCAAACCAGCAAGGCTGGAGACGCTCAAGTGTTCTGGTTCAAAATGGGAATGACATTCCACCTGGCATTACCCTTGCATCAAGAGGACCCAGGTGACAAAGTACTAATATAGTGCATCATGGGACACCATCCTTAGAGAAAAGGAGGAGGAGCAGGATGTTTGATACAGAGCTGTCTCCAATTAAATTAAGAAAGCAAAATTCAGAGAGCTTCAAGTTAACATGGAAAATACAGCATCTTCTGTTTCTCAAAGGAAAAAAACCAAAACCTATGAGGATAAAAGGAAAACAAGTGATAACAGTAGATGAGAGAGGTCAAAAAAAGTTTGAAAAGTTCAAAGCAGATGACCCATGATCCAGACTTAACTGAGGGAAAACTGAAAGAGAATTGCCTGAAGGGGTTGGGGTGACAGAATCAAGAACCCAGAGTCTCAGGAACCTCTGAATTCCCGGATGCCAGGGTCAGGTGAAAACAGGTAGATTGAAAGTTGCATTGAATTCATTTCTCACCCTGCAACCCACATGGCAGCCCTGCCCTACCACAGGGGAAAACAGGAGCTCACTCTCTTAAGAGAGAGCCATACAGGCTGCTGACTGAGGACCACCAGGCACGTGAGCAGGGGGAGCGTCTGCCTGGCCTTCAGAGTCTCTCTGTAAGCCTGAAAGGAAAACCAGGGGACTCCAGGTATGAAGGAATAAAAGATGGCCTACACCAACTAAGTCAGTCATCATGACATTTCAGAATGCCAGAGATAATGAGAAGGTCTTTCATAGAGGAGGAAACGTTGATTGATACGGTGCATCTGGAACCAGAGTAACTTTGGACTTATGTTGGAAGGCAGTGCCTAAACACCTTCAAAATTCTAAGAAAATTTTTCCAGCCTAGAATCAGCTAAACTGTGAACCCAAGTGAAGGTGGAATAACAATATTTTTGACATGGAGATTTTGAAAAAGATGTTTTATAGACCTTCTTTGAGAAATCTTTTGGAGGTTGTGCTCCATTCAAACTAGTAAGTAAGCCAAGGAAAAAGAAGACATTAGAATTCAGGAAACAAAGGATTTCAACATAAAGGAAGGCAAAATGCATTACCATCATGATAGTGCAGGGAAGCCAAAGGACAGTGATGATCAGTGGGGTTAGAAGGCAGTTATCCAGATTAGAACCAAGGAGTCAGGTGCCAGTAGTGGTACCCCAAGAAAACAAAATGAATCTACCAATGTTGATATTATAACTATGTTGAGAGAAACTATAGTTCTGCAGAAAGTTTGGGGATGAATCTGAGTGTGGTAGCACAAACCTATAATAATCTCAGCTACTTGGGAGGCCAAGGTTAAGAGTTCAAGGCCAGCATGAGAAACTTAGTGAGAACTTGTGTCCAAAAAAAGAAAGAAAGAAAGAAAAGAAGAGAAAAAAGGAAAGGGATTGGGCTGTGGTTCAGTGGTAGCTTTACACTTGTCCCTGGGTTTAATCCTCAGTACTGGGAGGGAAAAACGCTTGGGGACAAATGAAATAATGATAGACACACTGAAATTTAAGCAAAAGAAAAACAAAGTCATTAGTAACTCTGGGAAAAACAAAAGGCCTTGAAAAAAAAAAAAAGAAAATGTAATCATGTTGTGCTATGGAACTTAGCTGTGAGCAATGTTTGAATAATACATATATTAATAATAATATAAACACTGATTTTCTTTTTTTGTGGTGCTGGGGATCGAACTCAGGGTCTTGTGCATGCAAGGCAAGCACTCTACCAACTGAGCTATGTCCCCAGCCCCTAAACACTGAATATTGATTCAGGCAAATTGTTTTATATTGGGAGGTTGGGGGAAGGAAAATTATATATAGGGAAAGAAATACTTTTTTATAATAGGATGTCACAGGATAATATCTACAATAAAAATATTGATAAATGGCAGTATTGGTAGAGTATTTAGCACTTGCGAGGCCTTAGGTTTGAATCCTAACACCTCCAAAACCAAACAGAACTAAGAAATAGCAAACTGTTCATAAAATGCTGCCTCTGGAGGGCAGGGGTAGTGAGGAGGTGTCGGGTAGGGTACTGAGCATTAGTAATTTTAATTGTAAGCTTTAGAGTACTGCTTGTGTTTTAACCTATGTAACTGTGTGACTTTGGTAAGCTAGACTTGTGAAATAAGAGCTGTTCCTACATATACACTGGGAAGGAAATCATCCCTGGAAGGACACACATAGGCAAGGGTAGCCCTGGGAGGTGCCCAGGGTCCTGCACACAGGCTTAGTGTGAGTGCGTTGTCTGTGAGGGGAGCAGCTTTGACATGGATGCCCAGCTTCAGGGCAGGGACTCAGGAAATGATGCCCAGGAGAGAAAAAGGCCAACGTGGGCTACCAAGGTCAGGGTAGGCCAGACCCAAGCTGTCACTTTTGAATAACATTCCTATGTGGCTTCTGATGACATGTCATGATTTTCCTATGAATGTGACAGAGAAATGTGGCCTGAATGTTAGTACAGTTGGATGGAGGGTTGAACAAAACTGTCCAAGAAACCGATGGGTAGAAATAACCTTTTTGGGGAGGTAGCTAACATTTTTCTACCTCCTTATCTGTGACTTGTGTAAGGACATAAAGGCCAGGTCACCAGATCTGCAGATGATACCTGCTGGGAGGAGCAGACCACAGCTGCTGGGGCTTGGCTCTCCAAAAAGGGACTCTCTGCTCTAAACGTCCTGGCTGTGGGACTTTTCTTCCTCAGGTTTTGATCTCTGAAGGGGCCACCTCCCTTTATGCCTAAGCTTCAGGCAGCTGCATCTGACTTCTGTTTAATCAGCTGTCCCCAAAACCCCAACTCCCAGATGCCTCTTTGGGGCTAAGGCCCAAGAGACTGTGGCCAGAACCTCCAAGTCCCATTGAGAGCACAGGTGGCTTCATGGGCAGGGCTCAGCCTGATCTAGTCCAGACCTTTGTGGCTGGGGTCCGGTCAGCCTGGCTCAGGCTGGACTCTTGGGACATCACCAAGGGATCTCTCCTGCTGCCTTCTTGGATTGACTGTGGGTTTGGTCTGGGGTCTGAAGCTTTGCTCCTAGCCCAGCCCAGGACAACCCAGTCACCAGGTTGGCAGGTCTTCCTTCCTTTCCAGTGCTGGAATCAAACCAACCCAGGGACTTGTACATGCTAGACAAGTGTTCTGCCACTGAGCTACACTCCCAGCCCCAAAATTCAACTTTTCTATTTTGGTGGTGGTCCTGGGGAACAAACCCACGGACCTGCATATCTGGGGCAAGTACTCTACCACTGAGCTACACTCCTATCCCCTATGAGGCCACCCTTTCTTCTTAGCACCCTGGAGGTTCCTAAATCTTTACAGTCTCCAAGCCCTGTCCTGGCCCTGTCCTGGCCCTGTCTGACCCTGTCCTGGTATTCCTGACTTCTCCCGGAGCACCTGGTCAACAGGTGGAGTGTTGCAGGTTTACTTCCTGGAAGCTAAAAGCTTGAGTTTGAGGCTCAACTCTACCCCTTCCCAGCTGTGTGTCTGTGGTGAGTGTCTTACCCTCCCTGAGCCTCAGATGAGAGTCAGAGCACCTAATCTCATAGAGTCATCATTTGGAAGGAGGTGATTAAATCTGTGTCATTGTGTGTGCAAGGCCTGCACAAGGCTCATCACTGAGTGGCAGCCGCTATTATCATGGTATTCCTTTCTGCACAGTGGCTCAGAGAAGCAGAGACTTGCCCAAGTACACACAGCTTGGAAATAGCAGATGGGGGGACTAAAAGCCACATTTTTAGGCTAAAGAAGGGCCATTTATCAAGTATCTGCAAGCTGTACCACAGATCAAGGAACTGTTGATCCATGGGGTGGGGAGAAGCCCAGAGAATTGAGCCCAGGGAAGGACCAGAGAAGAGGAAATTGGGGCTCGAGCTGAATGAATCTGTGTTCTTGGTCTTGCAGGCACAGTAACCCTGGGAAGCTTATAGAATCTGCAGATGCTTGGGCTCTGTGCTGGCCTGGAATGAGAATCTTGGAGGCTGGTGGGCTTGGATCCTTTTACAAGCTCCCTCCATGAGTCTAAGAGGGACCACATTGAGAAATACTAAACTAAGGGTCTCAGAGGCAAGAGGGTGGTCCAGAAACTGAGAGCCATAGATGCCGAAACTGGAGGGAGCGCGAGGGAGAGGGGCGTCTGTCACGGTGTCACTGAGGCTTTCATTGTATTGAGGGGAAACTGAGGCCTGAGGGGCTCAGTAGTCAAGGTCACATGGAGGGCCAGCAGTGGAGCCAGCCCCTGAGCCGCAGACAGCCCTTCCCTGCCTCTGAGCTAAGTGCGGAGGGAGCCCCGCCTGGGCTGCTTGACCGCTGGCAGGCTGAATGTGTGAGTTTTTCAAATGGCTTTGACTTCTGAGTCCATTAGTGATTAATTCAGAGTTCCATTTGGAGCAGGCTGATCCATATTTGGAGGAGAAGAACATTTTGTGGCAGCTGAGATGCAGCCGCGCGCGATTCATCCGTGGGCAGCCAGCCCATGTGGCAGCCTGGGAAGGCCTGAAGGGGCTCAGGACCCTCTCTCCAGTCCTCCCATCCCAGGAGCCTCTCACCTGGGGAGAGAGGGTGGATCCTTTGGAGGTGAACAGAGCAGCTGGAGGGCCCAGCTCCCCTCTGTATCTTCCCAGTTGTATGACCTTGGGCTGTACATCCTCTGTGCATCCTCAGTTTACCCACCCATGGGATTTTTAACCTGTACGCTGCTCCCACATGGGTCTTTTGGGAGATTCAATGAGGCAGTGTGTTCGAGGGTGCCTAGCACATTAAGCACGGGGGGCCATGGCAGTGGGCCCCTTCTCTTTCCTTCAGTGGTCCATCCCATGCCCCCTTCTCTGGGCTCCTGGGAAGAAAACATTTTGGAGTAGCAGCCCTGGCCTTTCCACCATATGACCTTAGGCAAATGATTTTACCTCCTTGGCCTTCTGTTTCCTCATCTGTAAAGGAAATAATCGTCCCTGCCTTGCAAGATTGACATGCAAAATGAGAAACCTCCATGAGGGTTGGCAGTGCTGTGGGCACCCCAAGCTGCACCCCACGCTGGGGAGTGTGGGAGCCGTCGCTCTGAGTGCAGTTGGAACCTGCAGGGTCACAGGGGGGAGTTTATTTTTAATTAGTAAAACTTACTGAAAGTTGGCCTACTTTTTATGATCACCCCACACTGGCAATTCTAACAATACCAGCAGCAAAATACTCCTTTTGACAGAAGCCCACCTCTCCCACTGCCCCTGTCCCTTAGAGGCCACTAGGGTCCCAGCAGTGATGGCTGTCCTTCCCTCCTTGTTGACCTGGCCACCCACCTCTTGTTCCAACTCATTTGAGGAGAGTGTCTCTCAGCCTGACACCCTGCTTTTCAGCTCCCTCCCAAACTTGGGCAAAGCCTCTGGTCACGGCTCAGGGTCCCTTGCAAGGTCAGCAGGAGCAGGATGCTCTCCACAGATACTCACAGCCCTGCCCCAGCTCCACTTGTCAGGCCCTCCCCAGAGTCAGCCCAAAGCCATTGAAGGAGACCGCCTCACCACTGCAGTCAAGCTTGGAACATCTGTCTGCCCAGAGAGTTCCCAAAACTCACCTCTGGTCACACAGCCGGTGGGAGAGGATCCGAATGGGTCTGCCTGCCTCGTCTGTCAGGACCCCAGCAGGAGCAGGTGGCACCTGGATGAAGGTTTCGAGGATGATTTAAGGTGCCTTTTGGGGGTGGAGTTGACATCCAGACACTAGCCATCACCACCCCTGGGCCTGAGGCACCCAGCCGAGGACTTAGAGTAGTGGCAACTGGTCACTTGGTCCTTGGCAGAAGGAACATGGATACAGCCAGAGTAGGGTTGAGGCTGGGAGGGAGGGGAGGATGAATCCTGACCTCTCTTTCCCACCTCCCAACCTCTGCTGGGGTTTCTCTTGGTCCAATGCCTGCTAGAAGCCAGGGGGCAAGGAAGTGGGGGGTGAGGGGGAGCAATTGGTACAGGATCTAGAGGATGCTTTTCTGTTCAGTAAGCTGTGACAGAGGAGTGGCTGGAGGAGGGCAGAGGTGGCTCCGTGTTCCCCTTCTGGTGGGTCCTGGGAAGGCCTCCTGCTCTCCCCCCTGAATCTCCATAAAATAACTCTCCAAATTCTTCACTTGGTCATGTGTCCTAAGTTCCACCGATCAAAGGTTCATTTGAGTTTATAAACCGTGTGCCCCAGGAATGTCATGAGGGGGCTATCGGTCACTCACTCCTGGGTGTGAATTCGTCTGCTCAGATTACTTGTCTCCTAGCACTCAGGTGAGATCAGAAATGTACTGAGAGAGGAGAGGAACAGGAAAGAAGTAGAGGAGAGAAGGGTAATTTTGAAGCACAAAGGGACCATAAGGGAGTCCAGAGACCAGGCCCAGCTTGGGCTAGACGGCTCCTATTATCACAGTCTAATTTGGGGTTCTGTATGGCCAGAGGGCATGGGGACACCTGGAGAACAGGAAAAGAACACAGATGGGCAGCAGATGGCTCAGGGTCTCCTCTGAGGCCCCATGTACCGCAGGCCCCCTCAGGTGCCAGGTGCGAGGCTGACATTCCACATACCTCTCCCATCAATCCCTATAAATGTGGGAGGGGAACTCCTTACCCCAATGAAGAGATGAGGAGACAGAGGCTCAGGTGGGTCCAGAAGCTTCCTCAAGCTCTCAGAGCTATAAAGTGGCAGAGTTAGGATTTGAACTTAGGTCTGTCTGGCTATAGAGAATGTGTTTTTAAGCAGCCTGTGGTTTCCCCGTCTACCACACACACAGCCCTAGCCCTTCCTCTCATTCACATTGAATGTGCACCATAGCCCTTGAAAGAGGTGATTAATTGTCCCTTTTCCAGAAGATGAAGCTAAGGCTCAGAAGGGTTAAGTAAGTTGCCCCAGGTCACACAGTCCTACTGGGGCAGTGCAGGATCTGGTGTCCAGTCCTCCTGGGTCCAGGCTGCTACCCTTTTCTCTCTATAAGCTGCCTTGGTCACTGTTCCTACAGGCCCAAGGGCCTGCTTAGTGATGAGGACTAATGGTCCAGGATGGGGTGAGAGGGACAAAGGACCAGGGGTCATCCTCTCTTAGCCTAGGGCAGAGTTCCGCTTCACCCTCTGCCTGTCACCTACAAGCAAAGTCCCCTGGACTGGCCTGGGGCCTACATACAGAGAGGTGGGTGATAGGGACGATCTATGCTGTGGTCTGGTGCTTGCCACCCAGTGGGCTTGTGTGCTGTGTGGCTGACAGGTTCTACCCCTGGCCTGCCCATGCCCATCATATGCTGAGGATGGGGTGGGCGATGGCCAGAAGAAGGGGACCCTGGTGTCTTCATCTCTACCTGAGGGACTAGACCAAGTCATAACAGAAGGCCCACCAGAACTAACACTGCGGAGTGTGTCCCGGGTGGCAGAACACTACGGCTCACCTTCCCTCATGCTCTGCTCAGCTAACACCCCCAAAGACATGCTGGGCACATGGGTGGGCTCAGAGGTGTCTCTGGGATGGAAAGATCCATTGCTGCCCTTTCTATGTCACTTCTCCCAGAGAGCAAGGAGACAGGAGGGGGCCTGCTAATTGCCTTTTCTGCCCAATGGTCACATGCCTGTCACCTCTCTCTCTCCAGTATCCATGACACCTTCTTGAAGCTCTGCCCTGCAGGCAAGTACTACAAAGAGGCCACACTGACCATGGACCAGGTCAGCTCCCTGCCGGCCCTGAGGGTGAGTCCAGGAGGGAGGTGGTGTCACAGGGACCTCTGAGGGACTGAAGTGGGCGGGGGGCAAGATGGCCCTTGATGCTAGGGTCAGCTGGCAGCCTTGCTTGAGGGGCTGTGGGATCTCCAGGCAGAGGGCCCAGCAGGATGTGGCTTCCAAACACGTCTCACCTGCACCTATGCTCCCCACCTCATCAGCCCTGGAGTGGGACCGGGGTGCTGACCTTGTCATGTCTCAGATGAGTCAGACAGAATGTGAGACCTGCCAAGTCCCACAGTTGGAAGGTGGTGGCCTCTGCTGGAGGCTCTGGCTGGCCCTGCTCACCAACCTCCAGGCCTGTCCGGGATTCCCTAAAAGCCTCAGCTCCCGCCCCACCCCTTGTGGTCTTGACCCCCGCACCAGCAATTTCCCTTGGCTATCCTTTGTGCCCCCAAGTGGGGTGAGTGGGCAGATCGGGATCTATGCAGGACTGTGAGGCCTTGGGCAGCCCAGGTACCACCTCAGGCCCTCTGCCCAGCGCTGCCCAGCCCTTCTCCTTTTCTGCTCAGGCCACTGCAGTGGACTAGGGCTTTTCTGGAGGAATCAAGAATTTTCTCAGGTTCTTCCCTCAAAAGACAGGAGAGCAAAACTTGGAGCCAGGATTGACCTCCCCATCAGACTACTTCCCTCTCCAGGTGTGACTAGAGAAAAGGAGGACATTGGCATTTTTGCTCTTGCCACCCTCTGCTTCTCTCCCTCAACTTAGTCATCCTCCCTGAGCCAGAGGTTCCTATTAAATAAAGGGGTGAGTCATACCCTCTTCTGACTTTCCCCACTTTTCCTGGGCTGAATCCTACATTTCATACACCCAGGATGAACACACACACACACACACACACACACACACACACACAGCCCTTGCTATGGGTGCATCCTAGGCAAAGCACTTCCCTGGGTCTTGGTTTCCTCACGTATAAAATGGTGGAGTGGTGGGGTGGCTGGGAGTCTCCAAGTGCTGCTAAGGCTCCTTGCACCCGGGCTGGCAGTGTTTGCAGGAGCTGCCAGCACTCGCCCCACCTCCCAATCCTTTAGGAACAATTTTTGGAGCCTTCGTCTCCATTACAAAGAGGCCCTACTCTTTCCCCAGGGCAGCCCAGTGGAGCCCCAGGGGGCACAGTAGAAGGACTCCCAAATCACTCCTGGGATTTAATTAAAACGTGTGCCTTGCGAGAAGCGATGGCAGGTTAACAAATCACAGCGCTCTCGGACTTCCCAATTTGTCATTCGGATCTTGGCAGAATAATGATTTGAGTTTGTCATTGTACAATGAGAGCCCATCTCCCTTTCTGTCTGGAACGACACAGGTTCTGATTGCTGAGGGTGCTGGGACCCAGGAGCAGTAAGCTGGCTCCTGAAAGAAGGACGCGGAGTGGGGACACACGTAGTCATTCAGCCAATGACTACACTCAGGCTCCTAAGTGACAGGCCTGGCTCTAGGACAGAGACAGAGATAGAAGAACACAAAACTGGAGATTCAAACGGAGGTCGGAATGGAGAAGTTCAAAGAACTGAGAAAGAGGGGATAGTTGGGGGGTAGCTGGGAAAAGCTGGGGTGAAGTGAAACTTAGAATCCCCAGAAAAGCCAAACCACTGAAGAATGTGCGTACACCAGAAACGAAACAGGACGTGCATCTTTGGGGCACCCCATACTCAATTCCACAACCCCACTCCCACACACCTGTGCTCGACACCCATGTCTAGCACCATGAGTTAGACCTGGACATCTGCTAGGACCTGGGGCTCAGGGCCACCAGAGAGGCAGGACTGGAGAGCAAGCATCTGCCCACCCGATGGGTCAGTGCCAGGCTCTGTTTCCACCATCACCTGAATATTAAGACTGGAAAGAAACTCCAAGTCCACCCAGTCCAGCCACTGTCCACTGAACACAGGGTGCTCCCCACCCTAATTTTACCCATGGAAACCTGAGGCCCCAGAAGGATGACTCACCTGTGGCCACAGGAGGACAGACCCAAGGCCACCTCTGCTCATGGGGAAGCAGGCAGGACTCTGACCCGGGAGCCTCCACTTCTACTTGGGCCTTGGCGAAGCATTGACCTTGTGCCTTGGGGTCCCGGGAGAAAGACCTGTCCTGGCGGCTGACTCACTTCAGCAGACCCTGGTCCAGCAATAGTCTTGTCCCAGTGTGGCCCAGAGACTCTGTTCTGTGCCCCCAAAGGAGCGAGCCCTGGCCTAGGGTCAGGAGGGCTGGGTCTATGACGTTCCATGGACGTTACACTTCCTCGGCAAGTCCACCATGTGCTAAGCAGGAGACCTGCAGGGGCAGGACGAGCCTTGTCTTTACATCTCCTTCACGCTCCTCACCCACTCCTCCCTCAGGCCAGGGTCGGGAGCCCATGGAGGGTGGAGGACCGCAAGGCTGGAGAAGGGCAGATGGGGCAAGGTCGTCCCCACAGGGCTGGGCCCAGAGCCTTTTTCTGGAGCACCAGCCCCCCTCCCCAACTTTGTTCATTGGAGAGAAATTGAGAAGTTGGGTCCTGGGCTACAGGATTTTAACTTTACTTTTTAAATTTGAACCTCTAAGTGGACATTATTTTATTCTACTTTATAACGCTTGTTGTAGAAAAACTGGAAAACACAGCAAAGCAAAAAATGAGATAAAAGTCATCCATTAACTCACCTCAAGGGATGGTGGCCATGGCCATTTTGGCTTATTTCCTTCTGGACTTTTTTCTAAGCAGATATGCTGATAACAAGTGGGATTGAATGGACTTTTTTTGTATGTTGCTTTCCCCCTCCCCCACTGTGGTTTATCTGTTGCTTTCGCAGATGGTCTGGAGCAGCCAGAGTTGTCTCATGAATTGAGGACCCCAAGCCACTGCCACATCTTGAGAACTGGGGGGCCAGGCATGGGCCAGGAGTGGAGAAACTGGGCTTGAATTCACTTGTTAGCCCAAGATGTTCCATAAGAGGAATGACTGGGGTACAGGGATCAAAGGAGCAAGCAGATGCCAGCCCAGGAAGACTGGGTGGGCAGGGTGGGTGTTACTGCAGGCTGCCCTTGGAGGAGGAGAGGCCTCCTCTAGGCCTCAGGCATTGGTCCAGGTCCCAGCATGATGCAGGTTTCTCAGCTATGCAAGGGACACTTTGTAACCACCAGAGCTGTGCAGAGGGAGTGAGCTCCCTGTCACTGAAGAGAACCAAAGAAGGCCAGTCAGTCCCTTGGCAGGGAGGTTCAGGCACATACTTGTACCAAACGGAGATGGGACGAGATGCCTCAGGACCCTTCTCACCCTTGGAGTGTGTGGTTCTGCCTCTGGGGCTTGGTCTTATTCTCTTTGTCATTTACCACAGTGTGTCCCTGACATTTTACTTTAAAAAAAAAAAGTTTTATTTCGAGGAGGGACTAGAAATACCAACCTTCAATTTTGCCAAGGACACTAAAAAAAATAATATGTTACCCACCATCACCATTATTTCATTTTTTAAAAATATTCATTTTAAAACAAAAATGTAAGAAGCATCTCACCCCAGAAATAAGAACGATTCATTCCAAATGCATCTCTTTTTGTTTGTATTTTTCTCCCTTTGTCACCAATTGTTAACAGCTTCATCACTGACCTGGTGGCGGTCCCTAAGACTAGTTTAGGGCAACTTAAACCTACAACTAATGTTCCCCTCTGCATCTTTCTAATCCTGGACTAAGCAGAAAGCTTGCTTCCCCAAAGAAGCAAGAGAGGCTTGCTAGAAGGTGGGGGCCGGAGTGGGTGGGTGTCCTCTGCGTCCCAGGGACGGAGCTGTGTGACTCACATTGCCCAGAACCCTTCCTTGGAATAGGCATGGGGAACGGGGCCCCAGGGATCTCCAGGGACTGATATAACTTGGCTCAGGGGTTTGTGTGGTCTGGGAAGAAAGTTTTATTTTCTTAACTTGGGTTCCTCCGTGGAAAAAGTGGGCTTGTTAATGTCAGGAGGGTCTGTGGGTCCGTGGACAGCCAGGTGAGAGAAGGTCCTGGGTACAGAGGGTGGCGGGGACCACAACCTTTTCCACACAGTTTGGTGTTCTTTTTGTCTGCTGAATTTGACGTCTTTAAAAGTCAATTAGCGCAATGTTTCTGTTCCTGTAAATAATGATCTTGCTTTCTATAAACACGATGAGTGTGGCATGGTGTGACTCAGGTTTCGAGTTTCCAGGCCCAGAGTGTCTTTGTGTCCACCGTGATGGCCAGTGCAGGCCTGAGGAAGCCCTCACGTTTAGAGCCGGTGAAGAGGAGGCTGCACACTGACCAGGCCAGTTCCTTCTCCTGCCCCTTCCAGCTCCCACCTCAGGTTCTGGCGAGCTGATGGTCTTGGCCCTGACCTACTAGTTATCCCAGGACCAACCCTGTCCAGGCACCGAGAGGTTAGGAAGCCTGCCCCAGGTGTAGGAAGAGGAGCCAGGTGTGGCTTCTAGGGCTTTAGCTCCACCTCTGTTTCTATTTCTCCCCTTTTCTGAGCCCTACTGAACTGGGGCCTGTCTGTCTAGAATAGCTGCAAAGAACTCACTCGAAAGACTGAAACACATCAGAAAGTCCTCATATTTATTCAGAACTCAAGAAATGGCCAAAACAGGGGGCATAGGAATGATCGTATCTTTTTAAATTTAATTTTAATTTTTTGTTTCAGTTTTTAAATCAAAATTATTTATGCACGCTGGGAGTTGAGGTGCCCTCTGAGGGTTGTTCCATATCCCCTTCCGTTAGGCAACCATTTCAGCTCTTACCTGATTCTCTTGGTGTTTACTCTATATCTCCAAAGGAAACAACCTTATTACTTTTTTTTTTTTTTATTTCTGATAGTTCAGCCTTTGACTTTCCCCTAGAGAAGGTATTTAGCTCTTTCACCTCCCCCTATGCCCATCCTTCACATAGTTACCCATTCCCATAACCTCCCGCTGTTATATGATAATTTGGAGTACAGCAACATTCAGTATTGTATTTGTCAGCTTTTTGTTACTATAACAAAATTTAA